AAAAAAAAATAAATAAATAAAAAATAATGAGAGAAAGCCATGTAGGAGAAAGAATCACAAGACAACAACTTCAACTCCAACCTCACCTTGTCACAAAATTTTAAGGTTCGTCTAAATTCCTTAATCCTCTTTGCAATCAAAGTAAGATTTAGACTCTACTTTGTGAAAGTCATCTTTATTTGACATAATCAAGGAACAAAATATCAACCATTCTTGAATTTTAGGCTTACTCTGTTTTTATAAATTCTTAATTCACAAATTAAGTAATTGATTATCCAAATGTATTAGATGCATGTCTGATTAAAACTTAAGTGTTTTTACACCTAACTCAATTTATAATCAAAACCTTCATTAATTATATTGTTCTTGAAGGTTCAATTAGCAAGGGTACAAGCTCATTTATTAAATTAACCCCAACCTCAGCACAAGAGTTCACAATTAATTCAATAAAAATACTTTGAGCTATTCCACAAATTAGTTGCAATTGTTAAAATGTGTATCAATTAGGGGTCCAATTCAAGTTTGCATACATTACTCTCCACATATAACTATTCACTCAACACTAGGAAAGGAAACCAAGTGCATATAAATAAATTAACACAACTAATTTGTAGTGGTTCGGCACAAATCTTGTGCCTACAGCCCTTTTGGTCTATCTTGTCAGAATTTCTCCACCAACACAAACAAGTTTTTCAAGGTTAATCCCTAAACTTTTATGCGCAATACTGATCCACAAATGATGAAACTTTTATCAATTTCATTCCTTTAACTTTTACACGACTTACACATTGCGTAGTGTGTAGGACGTGAACAATGTTACATTCTCAAATTTTGTTGAGACACTTACTAATTAATTCTATTAATTAAGGTTTTAACTGATAAATTTATTATTGTAAATTTATTTATAAAAATAAGGGAGATTGACATATTTATCGATAAGACTTAATAGTAAGATATATTAGTAAAAAATCCACAAACTCTCTTAAGCAAACTATACCAAACAATTAATTTTTTTAAAAATTATTTACCAATTCCCCCCTCCCAAACTCTCTCAAGTGACAAACAATATCAATTAATTAGTTATTTTTAAATTGTTTATCACATCATTGATGAAAAAAAAATGAAGGAATGAAATATTTTTCTGTCGGACATATGCTATGAGGTATGTAGGGATTTTTGTTGTTTTTGTAAGATTTGTTTTTATGTATAGTGTTCATCATAATTAAAAGGGTAAATTATATTGACAACCCTTGAAGTTTGGTCTAATTACTATTTACCCTGATGTTTTGAAAATTACATTTTTACCCTCGTGATTAATAGTTTCATTTCACAAACCCCCCATACTTATATGAAAAGTAACAACTCCTAATAGAAAAACAGACGAAATTACATTAAAAAAAAAAATTAAAGGAAAGGGGAAAAAAAATAGAAAGTAAAGCAAAGTAAAAAAAAGAGAGAGTGTATGAATTTAATGTCGTCATTCCGTCTAAATAATTACAATGACAGGGAGATTAGTGTAATTTTTCAAACGTCAAGGAGTAATATGTATTAAGGGGTGGTTTGAGATAATCTAAATAAGTGCACTTTTTGGCTTTTTATGAAATATGAGTTAGATATGGGTTGAGTTTGAAGTGATGTGTTAGAGAAGTGATGTGACTTAAATAAGATGATGTGATTTAAATAGGATAGTAACTTTTTAACTTTTTTAAATTATACCAAATAAAATTTAAACCTAAACCTCAGGCGGTGTAAGCGTAATTTACCCTAATTAAAATCAATAATGGTGACGCGAATTCATGTCACTTTCTGCCAATTGGTCATGAAAATTTTCTGATGGTATGTGTGGGGATATATTTTATGAGTACCAACACGTGGCAAGGTGACGCCGACGTGTCAGCCGAGGTGCCACGTGTCTTGGTCGTTGTGCCGAGGTCATCTCGGCTAGGCCGAGGTTGCCTCCGAAGATATCGGAATCCGAGATAAGCGGATAAGAGACAAGAGTCCTAGAATGAAAAGGAAACTCAACTTGGATATGGACAAGAGTCCTAGATTGAGAGAAGACTTCAGTTTGGGTAAAGATAAACTCTTAGAGAGTTTATCCTGATCCCACTGGGAGTCCCAGATTAGCAGTAATCCTAAGTCCATTAGGGCCAGGCTCCTTTTGGGACTAGGATTGTATTGGCTATAAAAGAGAGGCACCCCCATGGGTCTAAGGTATGCTTTTGATACTCAAGCTTGTGAGTTTAGTACTTGATTTATCTTTGAGAGATATACTGACTTGATCGTCGGAGTGCCCCCGGGTGGTCGAAACCACCGCGGGATTCTTATATTTCTGTAACAGGTCAGTCAGGTGCCATCTATTCTGCCAGTGCTCTCCAGCTGGTTACTAAGCGGGCAGTGTGGTCGGAAAATCACTCACACAGTATGCTTTTAGAAATCCCCGGTACCTTCAACTCCGATCCGTGGCTTTGGCGACCTGATTGAACTAATGTGGTGTAGCGACTCTTTTAGCAAAAATATTTTTTGAAAATTTTATAATATATACTATTGGTATTTATTTTTTTTCAAATTTGTTTATATTTCTCAAAGAATAAAAAACGGGTCATGAAAATTGAACAAAAATTTAATATAATTTATTTATGCACCCCTAAGGCTAATATCAATATATAACTTTATCTTAAAATTTCGTAATAGTACTTACAAAATGTGTAATACTGTCACAAATTAACGTAATAAAAATTTCATAACCAAGGCATAAATTTTTGCAACATCAATTAAAAAATTATGGACATTTTATTACGTCAATTTATCCCGAGATTATGCATTTTGTTATTGATGTTATGAAATTTTATGATGAAATTACACATTTTGTGACAAGAAATACACAACACAATATTCGAATGACATTTTATGATGAAATTTCACATTTTATAAAAAATGCATTACACATTTTGGATCTGGGCCTAATATTCAGATCCACGACCCAACCTGAACCAAACTTTAATAAGAACATCAGTGGCTCGAACCTGGATGGATGGGTTCGGGTTCAAATTTACACCCCTGTGCAAATGCGTGTGCACCCACATAAATTATTAAAAAATATTATAGTTTCTAAATTTTCTATTAAATAAATGATCAAATATTGATCCTGTTTGTTATAACTTATTTCTATCTTGTTTCAGCTTTTAGCTTAATTTAAGCTATTTTGATGTGTTTGGTTCAGCTTAACAATACAGCTTATAACTTTTTGTAAGTTAAAAATCAACTTATTCTTTGAGTGAGGGAGGAGAAACTTAATTCATAAGTAAAAAATCAGCTTATGTTCACAACTGTAAGCTATAAGCTGTTAGGCTATAAGTTATAGGCCCTGTTTGGTAGGACTTATTTCCAGCTTATTTCAGCTTTTAATTTAATTTAAACTATTTTGATGTATTTGGTTTAGCTTAACAGTACAACTTATAACTTTTTGTAAGTCAAAAATCAACTTTTTCTTTGAGTGGGGGAGGAGAAGCTTAATTTATAAGTAAAAAAATCAGCTTATGGTGCCTGTTTGGTGCAGCTTAAAAGCTACTTATTTCAGCTTTCAGCTTAATTTAAGTTATTTTGATGTGTTTGGTTTAACTTAACAATGCAACTTATAATTTTTTGTAAGTCAAAAATCAACTTATTCTTTGAATGGGGCAGGAGATGCTTAATTTATAAGTCAGAAATCAACTTATGTTCAGAGTTATAAGCTATAAGCTGTTAAGGTATAAGCTATAAGCACTTTCCCACAGCTCTACCAAACAGGGCCATGTTCACAGTTATAAGCTATAAGCAGTTAAGCTATAATCACTTTCCCACGGCTCTACCAAACAGGGCCATGTTCACAGTTATAAGCTATAAGCTGTTAAGCTATAATCACTTTCCCACGGCTCTACCAAACAGGGCCATAATCACTTTCCCACAGTTGTACCAAACGGGGCCATTGTCAAGTCCATAAATGTAAGGCATTTAAGCCTCGTTTGGCAAGTAGTTTTTGAAGTCAAAAGTTATTAAAAAAATAAAAAGTTAGTAACTTATATAAAAAAGTCAAAAATTTTATTTTCTCTATATTTTTGTATATCTTTTTGTAAAAAAATTAAAAATTATCTAAAATATACTAATTTTTTTACATAATATTTTAGTCAAAAAATTACTAAAAAACCTGTTTCCAAATGAGACCTTAGTCATTTACGTAGGCATTGTTTGGGAAGGACTAAAGTGGCTATTTTAGCCACAAAAAATAAAATAAGCTATTTTAGCCACAAAAAATAAAATATCACATTCAACCCATAATCATCACACGCTTATCTCATAAAAAAAGTCAAAAAAACCAAAATTCTTTCCCAAATCAAGTTTTTTAGCTCATGCTAAAATAGTCAAAAAATTCAAAAAGCCAACCCACTTTTCAAACGGAAACTTAGGCCTCATTTGGGAACAGGCTAATTTAGTAACTTTTTGGCTATTTGGCTAAAATATGAGCTAAAAAATAAAACTAGTATGTTTGGGATGACTTTTTTGCTTTTTACGAAAAGATGTGCAAAAAGTAGAGAGAAAAGATAATCTTTGACTTTTTGGTATGAGTTGTTAGTTTTTTTGACTTTTTTAGTAACTTTTTGACTTTTTGACTAAGCTAGTTAGTCTCCAAACGAGGCCTTAGGCTCATTTTGAAAAGTAGCCTAAAAATTACTTCTAGATAGCTTGAGATGATCTAAATAATAAGTGTACTTTTTAATTTTTTATGAAATATGAATTGAGTATGAGTTGGATTTAAAGTGATATAATTGAAAAGTAATACACTTAAATAAGATGATATAGAATAATAATTTTTTGACTTTTTAATTTTTTTAAGTTATGACAAACAAGACCTTAATCTATCTTCCTCTCTCACAAAAAAAAATTAAAAAAAATAAAAATGAATCAAAAAGCAGTTTTTTAACATTTAATATTTCTAACTTTTTCCTAAATTATTTGGCCAACAATTATTGCTGACACATCTGATGACTATCCCGCCAAAACCCATCAGGCGATCACTTCGATCATCATCACTCTCACCCCGAGGACCGAAGCAATATCTGAAAACCCTAAACAGTCACCACCCAGAGAAGAAGACAATCCAAAAGCAAATGGATTTGGGTGGGGGTAATAATAGTGGTGGTGCTAAGCAAGAGCAAGAGCAAGAGCAAGAGCAAGAGCACCTCTTTTTAAGAAAAGGGTCAAAGGTCGAAGTGAGCAGCGACGAAGAAGGGTTCAGAGATGCCTGGTATGTCGCCACTATCCTCAATGTACCCACCAACTCCAACTCCAACTCCAACTCCAACTCCAACTCCAGGAAAAGGAAGAGGAGGAATAGTAAGACGACATCGACGACGACCAACAATAACAACAACGACAAGAAGTACCTGGTTGAGTATGATACCTTGTTGGCAGACGACGATGCCACGAAGCCCTTGAGGGAATTCGTTGATGTCTCCTTCATGAGGCCTGTCGACGACCACCCCCCTCCACATCCCCCTTCTTTCCAGTTGTACGACATTGTCGATGCCTCCTACAGAGATGGCTGGTGGACTGGGATTATTACCCGAATCAACCATTCCCATTCCGACTCCAAGTTTCTTGTCTTCTTTCAGAACCCTCCCGATGAGATCGAGTTCGCTCCTTCTCAGTTACGGCTCCATCGTGATTGGGTCGATCGCAAATGGGTTATCCCTCAAAAGCAGGTTAAACACTCATTTTGTCTCTCTGATTTCTTTCTTTTTTGCCTTTTTTTTTAAAACTAGTTTTTTTTTGGGTTTATAATGCTTTTTGGTTATTTATTTTTTTACCAATTTTCTATTTTGATTTGGCTTCCACAATGAGTCACAGCTAAGATTGCCGTTTAGGTTGGGCTTGGAGTATGGATTTGGGTAAAGATTTGGAAAGGAAAAAGGAAAATGTGTGTCAAGTATAGGTGAAATGTAGCTATATTTGATTCAAATTTTACCTCCGTTTGCTCTTTCTAAATCCCTACCAAAATCCATGCTCCAAACAACGTCTTTATTAATGTCATAATAATCTACTATTTTGTAGCATTATCTTTGTCTGTTCATTACCACTTATACCTGGTCAGACTACTACATAATCTGTACTGTAGTATTTTGTAGCATTATCTTTGTCTGTTCATCACCACTTCTACCTGGTCAGACTACTGCATAATCTGTACTGTAGTATATTCTTATGTGCTAACTTTATGTGGTACGTTCCTTTATGAATCTACCCTATTGTCTTACTGCTATTTGGCATCAATTTTATTTTTTTTAGTCTATTATACTTGAATGTTTAATTAATTTCATGAACATCTTGATCTTGATATTAACCCTCTATCTCAAACATAAAACTTTGATGGGTTCGTCTGAAATTATCATTTACTGGCTTCAGAGGTCTTGTCGTTTACTCCTTTGTTCTCGTCTCAAATTCATTCTAATCACAACCTCATTAACTGATATATTTGTGGTTTTCATTTCAAGGACTCATGCCAATACCTTATGAATCTTTTATGCTTTGCTTTTCTTATCATTTCTCTTTTATCCTTTGTTTTGATTATCATTTCTTATTATGGTGCCATTATTTTAATGATCCCATTTATAATGATGGATTTGTAACTCCATTATGCAACATTTTAACCGAAATTATTCAATTACTTCTGAAATAACTCATTCTGGAATTCTCAATGTATGGGCTATATTAGAATATTTCATTAACGTCTGAATTAATTATGTTTCCGAGTTAGTGCAAATTACCAGGGTATGAGAATGTATCAATTCTGTTAAATTTCATTATGTACGGTTATTTTTTGAATTTTTTTTGTAAAATTTATGTTCTATATCGGGTTTTCTCCATTTCTCTATCCCTGTATTTTTTCATCATAGATTGGAAATCATAGATTATTGCTGTGCCAATAATGTCTTGAATCTATGTTTGCAAGTAGCAGGCATTCAATTTCCATGGGACATCCTAATGTGCCCTTCGTGCACGTGTTGATTAATGCTATTGGATTAAATGCAGTACAGCTTATTATTTTGACGAAGTTGGTTTGATTTTCTTTTTCTATATTAGATTCATCAATTAATACAAAAAATGTATGCATACTCAATTGTCATCTTCACATCTGTTAGGGCTCTCATTTTGTCATATTTTGTGCTATGAAGTTGGTCATGTTCAGTCTATTTCTTAGTTAGCTTTGGGGCTACCATATATTCTTCTTGCATGGTTGGCAAGCGGAAGCTGCTTTCGAAGATAGTTTGACAAACCTTTTGGATTGACCTAGCTACTAAAATTGGTTGACAGTTTTTTGGGAATTAGACCAAGTTTTGATGTATGTGCACTTCCTATGTTTGCAGTGATATTCTTAGCTCACTGGTTTTAACAAATAAATAATGTGGGTGTTTCCCTGATGATCAGAGATCTTATGTCTATATAGAGCAACTCTTCTGCAAACTTTCACCAATGTACTACATTCTACAATCTATTTAATATGTTTAGTGCTTTTGAACAAGGTACAAGGAGCTGGGATGGAAACAAAACAATCAGAATTTATTCTGTTTACCACATCATAAATTAAAGTGGGGTTTTGATAACGAGTGCCCTAAGGGCATTGGTTAACAAAGTTTAAAATAATGATACATTTTTTATGCTACACATTTTCATAAAAAGAATGTTCAATCATTTTCAGCATGTTAACAGGGCACTCGTTAACGGAATCCAGTAAAGATTGTGAATGAAGAATTTGAATCTGCCAACGAATTATTTTTTAATCAAATTTTTATTTCTTGCATCAATGTGTTCTTCTGCATTAATGTACTTCCTAGTGGCAGGGTGGCAGCACCTTTACACTTCATAATTTCTAAGATTAAACTATTTCAATGAACATCTAGCCATCTTGTTTTAACAAATCAAATAGGAGAAATTCTTAAATGGCAACTATTGTGGTACGAGTACAAGCCACATCCTTCCACCAAAGAAAAGGAGAAATTATAACTTAGAAGTTCAATTCACAACTATTGAAAGATAAACTTCTTTCTTTTTTGTCTTACTCTTTTAGTTCTATTAGCAATAGAATTTTTGTTTATAATATTATCTTCCCTCTTTATTAATATTGTTTGTTTGTTTTTGTTTTTTGAACTTGTAAGATTTTATGTTCATTTTTTTCTCCAATTATGGATAGAGTTGATGACACCTTTTTTTACCATCCAATCAACTTTCAACACTTTAAACTAATTGTGTTTTCTAAATTCTGAAAAGCGAATGATGGGGCCAATGTTTAGCGTGGGAACAGCCGTAGAAGTGTCTTTTGATAAAGAAAATTTTCGTGATGTTTGGTTCCTTGCAAGTTTCCTTAGTCAAATTGGGAACAATGCTTTCTTGGTGGAGTACAATAGCTCAGGTATCAGTGATGGGGCTGGGCTTTCTAAAGTAACTGTGGATGCCCGCCACATCCGACCCTCCCCTCCCCATGTAGAGTATAAAGATTTTGTTTTGTTTGACAAGGTGGATGCATTCTGTGGTTTTGGATGGTGGAGGGGAAATATTACCAGTTTTCTTAAAGATAGGAGGTACGTTGTCCTTCTTAATCATACAAACGAGGAGAAGGAACTCAATCACTCAGAGATAAGGCCCCACATGGATTGGATTGATGGCAAATGGGTTATAGCTTCACAGGTATGATTTTATTATTATTTTTTAAGACTCTTGCTATATGCTCCTTCAAGGGTTTTGTATTACATTTACTTTGATTGTCACCTATTATTGACTTTCTTCTGTTGTCCTCACCTTTCGCCTGTGATTATCATGCCATTTTGTTTAAAATGAGATTCCTTGTTTCCACATTCTTTGCGATTAGTACTTGCCAGCCAAGGGGACAGAACATAACAGCCCTTCCAATCAGTTTTGTGCACATAAAGATAATTTTTTGTAAATGAGTGGATCCAAGTGAGAGTGCAAGCTCTGTTTATGGGTAGATCTTCTGTATTATGGAAACATTCACTTTATATTATCAGAATTTATAAACAAAATTGGAATGAAATAATTTAGGGTCTTCGTAAAATTGAACAAAAAGGAGAAGAGAAACCTATAAGAAAATATAACGGTGTGTTGGCTTGCTGCCATGGACCCATGGTGTGTGTCATTGTGTGGGTTGGCTTTGGTTGGTAGTAGAAACGAAAAAAAAAAAAAAAAAAAAAAAAAAAAAAAAAAAAAATCTATTATACTGCTATTGGCATGGATAATTGAAAGTACATTAATTTGAGGGACATTTGAAAGAGTTTTATGGTGATAAATAATTGTGTTACCTCGTGTTTTACATTTTCCGTCCCAAACACGCATTAATGTGTACTAGTTGGGAGTTTTTTTTTTAGTAGTGAAGTAGCACTCAAAAGTATGATGAATTAGTTGGTGTAGTTGCATCTATTTGTGCTCTAAGATGGATGATTGGTTACCTCATGTTTTCAGTCAAGTTTTAGTAGTGAATTAGCTCTCAAAAGTATGATGAATTGGTTGGTGTAGTTACATCTATTTGTGCTCTAAGATGGATGATTGGTTACATAGGTATCTTCCTGTCTAAGGCCAAGGCTTTGTTAATGTTCTATATTATACCAAGGCCCACATTCGGTGCACTTTTCATTTTAATCTCTATCAATTCTGAATTGTTGCTGTTTGGCATTACTTGTCATATTTATGGTCACTATCCTAATATTGTATTTCACCTGATTTTTTAAATGGCTTGCTTGATGTTTAAATTGGTTGTTTTTGTTTTGGTATTATATATATTTTTTCTTTTGATGTGTGTATTTTGTACTAGTTTTACAGATAAATTTTGCTTCTAAAATAGTCCTTAGGTTTATCAAAAGAAAATTAACTGATTATTTTTCATGCAAATAATCAACTATGGTTTGGTTTTATAACTAGAACAACTTCAATGACTGTGAGATACATGGTCTTGGGTAGAACTCAACCCCAAAAGTTAGCTCAAGAGGTGAGGATCATCACGCTTATATGCTTAACATTACTCTAGTATTCGGCCGACGTGGGACTTCACTTCACAGACTGCACATCTAGGAAGTTTTGCTGCTGCAAAAAAAAACACTTTGGAGAGAAGAACTTGTTCATTAAAGTCCATGGAGAAAGAGAGTGACCAGGCAAACCCATAGTAAAAAATCACCTTCTTGCCATCTCTTCTACCTCGCTCAAGATTAATAGTATTGGGAATCTGGCTTGAGATCAGAGCCCTCTAGGGCGTCAATCTGTGATTTCTTTTGTTCTCGTTTATTTTGGCCCTTTTTTTTTTTCCCCCCCCCCCCCCCCCCCCAAAAAAAAGAGGAGCTTTTTCCTCACTCCTTTTAGCATTAATATTTAGGTTTGGGGCTTTGTTTGCCCTCGATCTCTTGCATAATCCTCCATTCTTTGATTTTGTTTTCTTGGACTTTTTTGTATTCTCGTTCATTCCTAATGGTTTTATAGTGTTCAGTGTGATCCTCTTTGATCGATTTGAGAGGGCTGCAATTTTGTTGCTTTGGTTTCTCTCAGATCCTAGTTGATCCCATTTTGATTGGGACACAAGTTATGGTTTGGGTTGGTTTGGTTTCTCTCAAATCCAAGGTTCAATTAGGGTTTAGTTTTCCTTTCGGCTCCTTTTGTTTGTCCTGTCTGTTTCTGTCATGTTTAGGATGTTGTACTCTTTGAAGGTGAGACTCAGGCCTATTTTGGGAAGTGATAGTCTTAGCCAAAAAGCCAATACAAAAAAGTCAACTCTCCTTTCTACTTTTTTGCACTTCTTTTGTAAAAGGCCAAAAAGACACTAAAAGGCCAATTCCTAAAATAGGCCTCAATGATGCCCATAGGAGTCACTGTACCTAATGAGGATCAGATGGAGGACTGGTTTGGAGGAGATGATGAGGAATGAGATGGGGGGGAAGAAAAGATGAGAAATCCAAGCTCACTAAGCAAACCTCTCAACCACAATGCCTCCTTTACAGTTTCAGTCAGTGACATGTACTTCTCATCCCTTGTCTGTGGTGACAACTCTACTGAAAGTTTGAAGTGTGCATCCAAAGGCGTACTTACAGGTTTTGTATTCTGCATTCCAAAAAGTTCAAGTACCTTCTCAAGATAATTTTTGTGAAACAAGTACAACCTTCTTGCTTTCTTGATTCTGCGAATTTTTATATCCAAAATCTTCTTTGTGGCACCCAGGTCTTTCAGCTCAAGCTTACCATTTAGATCACTCTGTCTTGTTGATTTCAGACGTGCTCTTGGAAGCAATAAGCATGTCATCAACATGTAACAACCAGTACCCAAAAGAACCATCTGAGAGTCTCCTGAATACACACACTGTCACGCTCACTCCTAGAGAAACCGCGACTCACCATAAATGTATAAAACTGCTTATGAGTTATGATACTGCCTAAGGTGGTGTTTCAGGCAGTGTAATGATTTTCTCAACAAGTAAACATGATCTTCCTTACCAGAAACAACAAAATCCTTCCAGCTAATGCATGTAAATTATCCTAAATGGTCTTAGATGTGATCGAACTATCAACATTGATGTCCTTACTTGAAGCTATAGATTGATTGGGCTTTAGAAATCAGAGTACTGAAAATTTCTTGTTTTCTTTTGAATAGTAAACATACTTCAAATTTGGGAAGATACCTTTAGAAATGAGATGAAGTGTTTAGGCTAAGATATACAAACGTATAAACTTAGTGCTGCTGTGGAGCATGTGGAAAGATGACAAGTATGCAAGGAAAACAGAATCCAAGGATTCTTAGACTGTGTCACACAGACGCACAACTCATAATGGTTGCTATATCAATGTGAAATCATTTTGGTCTATATTGGGAGAAAGTTTGTAAATATATAAAAAAAAAAATTTGCTTTTTTTGTTTTTATTTTTTTGGTGTTCATATGTGTATTGACATTAAGTTTAGGAAGCACGGGTGTGGGTATGGATACGGGTATGGTACAGGTACGCCGATATGGCAAATTTAAAAAAATTAAGGTAGGGGTATGGCTGGGGTACATCAATTTTTTTTATAAAATTTATAGCTAAACATCCAACATACAGATCAAAGTTTAGTATCATAATTAAAAAGAGCAATTACAAAATAATTTGTGAAAATTTTCACTTCATTCATATAATTTTCAAATATTCAAATAATAATTTAAATACATCAATATTTATCTTTTATTTTATATAATTCTAATTAATTTTTTTTATATCTTTTATTTTATATAATTTTGAATTTCTACTACAAGACTACAATAGTAAGAAGGGCACAAAGTGGGTGATTCGCATTACCTAATTGTTTTTGAAGATGATTAAAGAGGAATAAGGCTATAGCTTGCATCAATTTCCAGTTGCTGTGGGGAAAAAAAATGTTAAAAAAAAAAAGACAAAAAAAATAGATCAGAAAAAATCTTAAATGAATTGGGAATATGAAATTTTTTTTAAAAAAAATAAAATAAGAAGAATCTGAAAAACTCAGAAAAAGAGAGAAACTATGAAATAATCTTAGAAATATCTTTGGAAATAAATCTGGAAAAAGAGAGACGAATCGAAGAGGAAGAAGAATTGAAGAAGAATCGAAGAAGGAGAGGAACTCACTGGAATATCAAGCTTTAGTGTCGTCTTCGATGGAGAGCAGATTCGACAAACTCTGTTCTTCAAATGATTTACGATTTCTTCAAACGATAGATATAATTTGCTTTTATGTTTTTTATTACTACTAAACACCCCATATTATTTAATTTTTCAAAATGGGCAAAAGATAATTGCTCTGGTGCCCCAAATAAATTCTGAAAATTTGATTTTGACCCTAGCTTACCCATGGAGTACCCACCGTGTACCCAAAGCGTACCAGATGTATACGGGCTGCATAAAATGTACCTGGTATGTTTTTCCCGTACCTGGTACGCGTGCAGCCGTACTGGTATGCGTATCCATATCCGTATCTGGTACGTACCCGGTACTTGTACGGCAACATTTTTGGAGTACCCGTGCTTCATAGCATTAAGTTTTTAATCTTTTGATTTTTGCCCCAAATTTTTCTTTGCTCTGTTAATAATTTTCCTGCATTTCCTATTATTATTTTTTCTCCCACAAGCTGGCTTTGTTGTGGTTGTCTCACTCACCTTGTGAAGGTTAATTCTCTTGGTGCATGGTTCTTTGTCCTGAACTGGAAAGAAGTATAATTTGGTAGCCCGCTATAATAGTTGATCTTCCATTTGTTCTGTTTTTACTTGCTCTAATTGTACTGTTAACAATATTTTTTCTTTCTCCCTAAGGGAATTGTTGAACAAAAAGGTGAGGTGAACCATCAAAGAAGAAAGAGGGGAAGACCAAAATTACTGGTTGAAAAACCTATAGGTTTGGTAGAAGGTATGTAGTAATTTGAAGGCACTAGTGCTATTTAGATATTTATAATTTCAAAAAATGAAAATTCGCATAATGATTTGTAGGTGAGGAGAAAAATGGAGTTGAAACTACATGCTATCAAATTGTTGCAAAAGATTGTGAAACAAATGAGACTGTGCAATCGACAGAGTCAGGGATCCATTTTCGAGGGATGATGCCCATCAAAGATGATTTTCCTTTACGGTTTTTAATTAAGAAAAATCTGAAGCTCATTGCAGATGATAAGAAACTTCTGAGTGGTCCACGAAGGCACAATCATATATCAAGCAACATAATGAATTTGCCCCTGGCAAAGATTGATAACCAGCCAAATGAAACAATTGCACAAAAGCCAGGTAAGCAACTTAAGAAGCATTCATCAAAGAGTGAATCTCCAACTCAAGGTAGGCAATGAAAATCTGTAGTTCAAGTGATGTAAATAGGAAAATATTTAGTTGTCTTATTTTATTTGGCATGCTTGTACTTTATGATCTTTGGGCCTTCCTGCTATGAGCATATTCATGCAGAATACTCTTCCACTTTTTTCCTCTCTCTCTCTCTCAGGCTACACTATACTAATTTTTAGGTGAGTTTAATTCCTATAAAAAAGGAAATTGCTGGAGTTCTCACAAACAATCGCAAATTTGATGCAAAGTGCTTGCTGGAGAAACTAAGATATTTATTAGAATTTCATTAAACCCCTAGAATTTTTCTTGGTATATAACTCCTATTTCTTTGGATTGAAGTGAACGAAAAAAAAAATAAAAGAAAAAGAAAACCAAGTAGGAAAGGAATGGAATTCCCTGTCTGATAATATTATTATCTACCATTTGGCACATCTGGACAGAATGAAGTTTCATCAAATGTATGCATTAAAATGATTTCATGGTTTGAGGATATATTTTGGATAATGTTGCATTTATGATCTTGAAGAATTTTACCATAGATGAATGTGGAATATGATAATGATTTCTAGGTTGCTAAGCATTAGATCAGACTGTTTTGTAACATTGGCCAATATAATTTTCTTCCTCCACAGAAACAGGTAGAGCACAATAGAAGTCTTCTTGGAATGCGCTGTATTTGTTTTTTGCTTTTGCAATCATGGTCTTTATTGCTTATTGTAGATTGTCAAAATGCATGCAGAGGAAAACATGTCAAGTTTTTTATTAATTATTTTTTAAAAGCAGATTGTATATCCAAAGATGTTGTAGTTGTTGATGAAATTCCTAGCCACATATTTGATGATCAACCTCTAATGATGTGGTTTGAAGGAATGGACTCACCATCAACTGTGAATGACTCAAGTAAGCCCTTATGTATTCCCAGTGATGTTTGTATTTTGGAATCTGTTTGATTATTATTATTTTTTTAGTTTATTTTTATTGCATAATTTGTTTTTTGTTTTTTTCCTTGTGTCTTTCCTGTCTAGGCGTTGAGGCAAGTGGTAGACAAGATGCAAAAGCAATGCAATCTCCTGCAATTGCTTCCACTTGCATTAATGTGTCAGGAAAGAATAGAGACTGGCCTTTTGTAAAGCGCTCTTCAATCTGGGAAAACCTTGAATGTATGGAAATATTTAAAAAAATGCCACAGCAACCACACTTTCAGCCTTTGGGTAAGTCCAAGGAGGATATTCGTGAAGGTTTAGCTATTGCTAATATGGTGACCTTTGCGAATGTAGTGCTGTGGACATCAAAGTTGCAATTTAGTGATCCTAGAAGCGTAATTGATAGCCATTTGGAAACTCTTTCTGACTTGGAAGCTCATGGGTTTAATGTTGACCCAATAAGAGGCCGTCTAAATGAGTTGCTATCGAAGAAAGTTAGGCAAAGTAAGCTACTGGAGGAATCCAAAGGAGTTGAGATGAAGATAAATGAGCAGGGTCTTGAGAAAAACAAAATTGATGAAGAGATTCATGAGATTGATAAAAAGATGGAGGAGTTGCAAGAAAAGCTTGCTTTAGCTACATCAATGACGAAGATGAAGGATAATGAGATTGGTGCTTTGCGATCAAAAAAGGAGGTTATTGATCGAGATATTCTGAAAGCACAGCTTGATTTCGAAGGACTAGCTGCAGCCCCTCTGTAAGTAGCATGTTTGTTGTACTTTTGTTCTCTTTTGGTTGCACTGCTTTTGGATTCAATAGATGAGACTGACCAATGTAGATAAGTCCTCGCTTATGTTGATGTAATTACGTTTTTGAACACTGTTAAGTAGAGTCAATGGCCTGTTCCAATGGTCAGGGCAACCTTTGTAGGCCGTGGCTCGTTGGGTCTAGGGTTCAATCCGTGCCACGAACCACTATACTATAGTGGCTTATTAACAGCTCTGCTTGTATATGCACTACATCTAATGGTAAATTATGATACTGTGTTGAAAATTATCATGTGGCTTTGCATAGGACAGCTCAAATATTGTGTTATGCCTAAAATGATTGTATCTTGATAAAAGGAAATTTTATTTGCACTTTACAAAAAAATTTCAGTACACCATTTATTTTATTGTGATATAAATTTCTGAACAAAAGTCAATTTTTTAGACATAAACTTCCGAATTCGGTACAAACTAATGAACGGGAATGTTTATATATGAGCAATTCATTTTTGAAAGTTTATGTCCAAACATTCAACTTTTGTCCAAAAGTTTATATCCAAACGGCACATTTTGTGATGTGCAAATAGAATTATCCCTTGAGAGAATATATAAAATAAAATGACTAAAAAGCCCATAAACATCCCTCCCCCTTCCATGTTTCTCTTTCCCCATGGTCTCCAACCAACAATTTGTACAAATTTGGTTTGACCCAATCATAAAAGCTGTAGTAAGAACACTATGATTGAGAGAACAATAGACTAGTGGAAAAAAATAGAGGGAAGAAAAAACTGCTCTCATACCAAAGCTACGAACTCTAGAGCACAACCATCGAATAAATTCAATCCAGTGCCTAAAAGCATTGTTGAGGAATATATATCAATGTTTACAGGTAAAAGTAGGTGGTGAACAGAATTTGTTGAAACAAAGCATGAAGTAATGTTTCCATATTTGTAAAACTGAGTTATGTTGTGTAGTGTAGTGTAGTGTAGTGTAGTGTGGAGAAGTGGGGTTGGGTTCAACAGGTAATATTGTTGTTATGTAATAGATGTAATAAACGCTTGTTTTGTTGTTGAGGGTGAAATGCCCCAGTGAGTGAGTGAGTTGTATATGTATGTATGTATATGAATATATATGCATGAACCAGAACCATGTAGGCTGATGATGAGCAACCACCCTGACCCCCTTGCACACACAACTAACTAACAAACTGCTTTAAGTTTGGGCAGGGCATATATTTGTTTTGTTCTATTCGCAACCTCCCTCCCTCCCTCCCTCTCTCTCCCAGCTTGCTTCATGTGTATATAATATATATGTGCTACAACTGCAAGCCATGCCCTGCAAAAGTTTGTTGTAAGGGATGAACAAACCTTGCCCAACCCATACTTTTTATCATAATATTATTATATAAATGGAAGCAGTGAATTACAGGTTTTGTTCCACTTTTTTTGGCTGGGTTTATTATTTGTTAATTTTGTAGGTATTGTCATGTTTTAGCCATTTCAACAGAAATTGCTCTTTTTTCTTTTTTGTGAATGCTTAAAAAATTAATGTTAGGAATATAATTTCTGGTATACATTGGATAGAAAGAAAGAGCAAGTGCAGAGAGAAAGAGGTATTTGTTTTGTTTTTAGGACACACATGGGAAAGGACTATTAAGGGCAATTAGATTAACATAGTAAAAATTGAAATTTTAAACAAAAATATATGTTTTAAACTTTTAATAACAATAATATTTTCAAAATCTTTGATGAACTTTCTAAAGTTTTCTTAATTTTTTAGTAGTTTTTCTTAAAAAATAAAATATTTTAACTCCAAATTTTTAAAAAATAAAACACAAAAATGACCTTAAAATATATTGCAATTTATAAGTTCTTCAAAAAAAGCTGCACAAAAATGAAAACTTATACAAATAATTGCAAAATATGAACAATAAAAAATAATTACACTATAAATGGTAACTAAAAAATAAAGAGAAAATTGGTGATAAATCCAATTTAGAGAGTGTTTAAAGTATTATGTTCAGTGGACATTTTTTGCCTCCGTTTGGTGAGCGGCCTACCTTTTGAAAAATAGTTTAATGAGAAGTTTTTTTGTTGGTTTTGAAGGACATTTTATTTCAATTTTACCCTTGGATTTTTTTTATTTGTTGACTTTTGTAGACTATCTGTTCAAATTTTTTTTCCTATTTGTTCTAAAAAATTCCCTATCTGTTCAAATTCTTTCTATTTGTTCAAAATTTTCCCTATCTGTTAATTTTTTTCCCATTTTGTTTATCTATTCAAATTCACACCATTTTAAAACTCTCTCTCTATTTGTTTCTCTCTCCACCTCTATTTCTGTAACGCCCCGAAATAAATATAATATGCCATCTAAAACGATAAGTAAATAACAGTATGAATCAGAGTATAATGTCCTTTTATTACATGAGATTCAATTGTGCAAAAGGATGACACATACGATATATATTCATAAATAGTACATCATGAATCTATAGCATGTATTACCATGCAGCCATAATGTAATAAAAGTTGAACAGATAATCATATATGCTCTAGAGGCTTACATTTTTCCAAGTCAAGGCGTGGGTACATCGAAAGTGAGTCTAAAACTCAATACAAGTAAAGCCATAGGCTTGTACAAATGTTAAATACAAAATAACAAAATAATAAAACTGCGCCTTTAGCTCCACAATCCTCTTAAGCTAAGTCCTTGGAGGAGGAGGAATATCACCAGCACATGAAAATGATTTTCCCAAATAGGGTGAGCCAAAGCCCAGTAAAAATAATCTAACACCATATATGAATCTTAATAAAGATATAAGTATGATATGCACATACTATGTTTGTGATAAACTCATTTATAACTCTTTTGCAAAATCATACTATGTTGAATTTATATTTCGATCCATTTTATCTCAATTTATGAGTCATTTTCATTTTATTCAGAGAACCAAACTGAGAATACAACTAATTGAGTCTCTAATCAATATAGCCATCATACAGTTACTTCTATTTGTCATTTTACGGATATTTCGTCCGCAGGAATCGACAGCCATGTATGCTTGTGATTTTCGGTACTTTCACCCTGAACACTCTGACCAACTTAATTTAATGGAGTACATCTCTTTTCTTCTCCCAAATATGGAGTATATCCCCTTTGTCTTCCCAAGCATCATATATTTACAACGTATTAAAGATGTGACAACGTTCAATGCAATTAGATGAGAAAATTAGTTTCAATTCACCTAATTCTTATGCAATTTCTACAACAATCAAGGATATCCTTCACCGACAGCCCAAAGCAGATATTTCTAAACAGATGTACAATCTCCAAGACAGATAACTCATCCAAATTTCAGAGTGTGAGGGGTAATACTTATCCAACTCCACCATTTATATAAACATCCATCCAATTTCATATTTTCAATACCAATTCCACTTGTTTATACAAAATAAATATTTGAGACATTTTAGAGCAAACTCTATTTCTTTCAAAATTCAGCCAAAGTATCAAAATCAATAATTTTATTACAACACAACCTCATATTCACTCACATAACCATTTTCAATACATCCAATGTAAACCCCTCTTTTGATTTTAAATCAAAACCCTAGGTTTGTTCAAAATTCTCCAAAATCACAATATTGTTTATGAAAAGCAAATAGCTAAGTTAAAATCCATAGAAGATTGTAGAAAATCCCTACCTCAAAGGTAGAAGACGAGCCAAGCAAGGAAGAAACTCAGATGAAGCCGAAACCCAATTATGTTCAGATGAAAATGTAGCCCTTGAGATGCTTTACCTTTTTAACAAAGGCACACGGGGTAGAGGAACCACTAAATCTAGGTGAAAATGTAGAGGGAGAGAGAGAAGCTCTAAATCTAGGATTTTTGAAGTGTTGAGAGAGAGAATGAAATGAAAAAGTGATGTAAAATGTCATTTTTACGAACACAGTCCACTCGAGCTCAAGAAGTAACGCTCGAGCGTCCAGATACAATAAGTTGTTCCGCTCGAGTGTAAGAAGTGATGCTGAAGCGTAGATTACACACTCCCAAAAGTTTTGCAGACAGTAGGCCAACGCTCGAGCGCAAGAAAGGCCGCTCGAGCTGAGACCTCTCAAGCGTAGGAATAACTGCTCGAGCGTAGAATACACTCTCTCAGTAGTTTTGTAGACCTACAAAAGTGCTAAAAATTCATGAAGCCCGCTCGAGCGCAAAAAGTGACGCTCAAACGGAGGAGTAAAATTCTGGGCAACAAAAGTTTGAAAACCAAGCTACTAACTTGTTCCAAACGCAACCAATACAACCCAATAGTCAAACTCAAGAAGGGAAAAGAGGAACAAGACAAGAACAACAATATAGAAACGTGAAACCTGAGTCCAGAATATCAAATGGGTCGGGTCTAAAACTAAAATTGTTATAACCTCCTCCCTTAAGGAATTTCGTCTTCGAAATTACAATTTAAACTTTAAAATCATGTTTACATCAATTACAACAATGATAATCAATCAATTCTAACACCTTGACCCATCCACCAGTCATTCATTCTCATCAACTTGAGACACAAGTTCCAACATTGACAGTACAGTTCATATTTTTCAAAACATATACAATGTTTATATTAAACTCGTGTTTCCAAAACAGATACAACATATATAGTGTTCCTATATTTTATCAACATAACATAATCTCAATACATGCTCAAACATTAACAAATAAGTCTGGATATTTCTCACGGACTTCCAACTCACGTTCCCAAGTTGCCTACTTAACTCTGTGATGTCACCATAGTACTTTAACCATGGGAATTGTCTTGTCTCGCAAGACTTGGTCTTAAATATCCATGACTTTCACCGGTCTCTCCTCATTCGAGGCATCCTCATCTATCTCTAAGTCAGTCCAATTTAACATGTGCGATGGATCTGGCTCATACTTCCGAAGCATACAAACATGGAACACATCATGAACCATGGAAAGCTGTGGCGGCAAGGCCAAACGATAGACTACCTCTCCAATCTGCTCAAAGATCTCAAAAGGTCCAATAAATCTAGAGGAAAACTTCTCATTCTTCCTAAACCTCATCAAACCTCGCCTAGGTGATATCTTCAAGAAAACATGATCTCCTACCTTAAAAGACAAAGGTCTCCTCCTATGATCAGAGTAACTTTTCTGGCGACTCTAAGCCGTGACTAACCTCTTACGGATAAGTGCAACTTTTTCCATCATTTCTCGGACTAACTCTGGACCCAACAAAGGTGCATCACCCACCTCGGTCCAACACACAGGAGATCTACA